GCTACCTGTGATGCCCACGAAAGCACACAACACTGCGTGAACAGAAGGAGTATCTCCTTCAGGTTGCAAACAAGGACCCAGTTCAGGCAATATCGTTCGAGGGAGAACTACCCACTAAAACAGGCAGCCTCTTTGTGTCGAAGCTCAAATTCGTTCTCCTCATCTGCAGCATCCTGCATAGTGCCATGCGGGCATATGGGGGTGGCACTAGATGACACATGAGTGCATGCATGTCTTCATGCAGGGCGAGTCACAAAGATGTTGGACAGCAGGGTGCTGAGATCCAACTCAGCCTCATACAACGCAAGTCTGCAACTATGCCGGCTCAGACTCCATAGGAGCCAGGCATCTTCTTTGGGAAGCTCGTGCCCTTGCGAGACTTGACGGACCTGCCCAAGGCACGCTGTCACGAGTGAGATTTGCATCAAAATGCATAGGCAAAGTGAAAGACTGGTAATATGATCCTGGTTTCCGGGGGATTGGCCAACTGGGCCGAGAATTTTCAATCATTGTCAATCTCTGGCTGGCTTCCTTGGCTTGTTTGATTCCTTTGCTTGCTCTCTGGATGATGGCGGCGCCTGAGGAGGTTCGTCGCCTGCTGGTCCCAGCACCTCCTCTCATTAATCTCAAGAAGGGCTACGTTGACAGAACGCCGTTTTTCGCATGCAACGCAAATTGAATTGCCGGACAAACCATGGTGTTGCATCAACTGGGGGTACGCCGTACTTTCAAGACCTTTGCTTCTTCCTGTCGCAAAAAAAATGTGTTTTGCCATTGCTTTTGCAGCAAACTCTGTACTCGATGGCGCGGGGGAAGGGGGAAAGAGGTCGGGGGGAGGGGTAGTTTCGTGACCAGCGGACCAAAGTCACTGGCCCCACGTTCAAGACCTTTGCTTCTTCGCATCGCAACAGCGTGTGTGTGTGTGGTTTAACATTTTTGCGGCTAGGCGACAGCGTGAATATACTGTCCGGCCTGCTGAGTTGTTGACTGACTTGAAGTGGATGGATATCGTTGCACAAAAGAAGTCATTCGAAGCGCGGCAACCCCCCCAACGTTGACTCATGGTGCTTGCTTCATACAATTCATGTGTAGTTTTGGCAACACTGATTTGATATTGTGCTGTCGCTTGACCTACCCAGCACTCCGCGCCAGCGAGATTGCAAAGTTCCAGGTTGGGCAAAAAGGGTGGACATGTCCAGACCCTTGCTCCCAGCAACCTGTTTGAAGGGAACTGTATTTGAGAAGAGGATCACGCTTCAAAGCTGGCCGGCCCAATTGTGGTTGAGTGCGTCCAAAGCAATCAGTTTGCTGTGGGACGTTTCTCTGCTGCAAGATACTGCAGGGTGCTTACGGGGCCTTGCTGATTGCGGCAAGTTGTTGTCCACTATCATCATGTTCGGCTGCTACAAACTTGAAACACACAACTGGTGCAAGAAGTTGCCATCACAAGTTCTTGACAAGTTCTTGACAAGGTAAGGCCTTTCAATCACAGCAAACCCGCCGTCCTCATCAACAGATGGAATCTGCAGCTCCTCGTGTGTTAGCGGCCTCAAAGTTGGAATGCTCTCTCCGATTCTACTCATGGAGCTGGCTCAGAAGGGACCGATGAAGGCATCTGCTGTGCTTGTGGAGACTAAGCCATTGGCGGCTCAAGTCGAGTTTGCTCGAAGGCGGTTGCCAAGTCGTGCAACTGCCGAACCTCCACGGCAAACGCAAAGGAGAGAAAAGTAAGCACATCGTGACTAGAAGCAGCGCGAAAAAGCCAAAGCATGTACGCCTCACATGCTTGCTTCCACAAATTTGGCAGCAATGCTCTCTGATCTCTCCGCTTGCCCATAGAGTATCAACAAATATTAAGCAGTTCCCAAATGTCGGGGCTTGCACCTGCATCTTGTCACCAATGATGCGATCCAGCCATCGCTCATACCTGACTATTCAACAAGGTAACGATGCTCCTTCAGCGGTGCATCTGTATGGCTGCATGATTCACTGTTCATCTCTACCCTTGGTGTTGGCTGCGGGCATGGCTTCTTGCACAAAGGTGGTGCCTTTCAGCGCACTGAGAGCCTGACATGCCGGGAGCGAGGCTTTGACCGCTGACTTCGTGCTGAACATTCTCCTCTCAAAAGCGAGTTACAGTCTGCTCTGATTGCAAGCAAAGCAGGAATGCTCTCGCCTCCTCAAACTGATACGTCAAAGCCCCAGTAGAGGTATCCAGGTGAAAGTAGACAAACACCACAGCTATTGGCACAGGGCAGTCCTTGCAAGAGCAAGTTGCCATGCTCCACTGACATGCTGCTTTCGTACTCAAAGTTGAAGAATACTCATGAACATTCTGCGTCCTGAGCTGGTTGGCTGAAGATTGTCTCAAGGTCGATGACCTGCACCACTCTCTTTCAAAGGAGATGGAACTGCTAGCACGGCCCACATTTGCCTCGCCTTGTGGTCCAAGATTCGCACTGCCCTGGTAATGTGGGTATACCTAGTGCAAGATCAAGCTCTGTTAAGCATCAGCAGGTTTAGCAATTATGTATGCAACACGCTGTGCAAATTGGGCACTTGTTGCATTGCCACTTGGCGAGCTCATCTTCCACCTGAACGAGAGAATGGTCTTGCTTGTTTCTGCATGTGATAGACTTCACCAGCTGTTGCATTCTTAAAATGGCAAGCATGTGCAAGCTGCTTTCTCATCTTTTGTATCCACGCACTGGGTGGTCGCAAGCCCTCCTTAAGAGGCTGGCAGAAGCTGATCTGGCACTGTGGCCAGCCATAGCAGGGCCACACGTTTAGAATTGCCTGCCTTTTGAATGCCTGGCTCTGCTTCTCCTTGGGAGATTGCAGTTGCCATGGCAGCGCCAAACACCCCAGGCTTGGCCTAGCCTTTCAGATTGCAATCTGCCCGAACAGCACGAGTCTAAACCTTATACTCGGCAAACAAGGGCAGCATGTGACGAAGGTGAAGCGACGGGACAGCCTGTGCCAGGATGGCGCACCTACTACCTAACCTTGACTGTCTTTGCCTAAGGCAGTGGCTTGACCGTACTGCCTCTTCAGGAGGTCAACAAAGGTGCTGCTCCCTGCACAGCTCTTTGCAACCTCGGGCCAAAGCAAAATTCGAGGCTATATGGCCTGTTATCCTAAGCTGCAAGCAGTACTGGTGGAATGAGAGTTGAAAGACACAGAGGGGTTGTACATCACGTTGAAGTCGGGATCTTCCGCAACTTTGGCTCGCATCTGCAGAACAGCAAGGATCAACCGTGCTCAACCAATGCGGCCCGTTTGCTGAAAGATGTGATTCGCTTTCACGCCTTGTCTATGTGTCGCCGTGAGTCGAAAAACAAGTGTGGCCTTGGTGACAGGACAAACAGCATGCACTGTGCACTGTGGTCAAAGGGCTTCACCGGGCTTGTCTCTGAGATTCATCACGAGCCCTGGGAGTGCATATGATACTCCGCACAGAGTACGTGCTTCATGTGTCAGATTGTTTGAGCCATGAGCAAATTAATTTGTTGCTTTCAAATGAGCATGGGGAAATTAAATGGATATGCCCTGTATCGTTGTGTTGTCTTGGGGGAATTGTGCCCACCTCAAATCAACAAACAGCAGGCAAATAGTAGCATGTGTCAGTTCCTCAGTGTGCATCCTATCCGTCAAAGCTAGCCAGGCCAGCTTGCACAGCTCGTAGTCCACCATGCTAGCCTGCATCTGCAAGGGCTGTGAAGACTTCTGGGGTAGTTTGCCAAAATGACATCAGCAGTCCTTGCCCAGTTGAGGCATACCAGCTTCCTTCCGTTTGCGCACCTCAGTCAAGCCAACTTCGCGAAAGCTTCTATGACTATGAACACAACTGACACTTGCTTAACTGATGCCATGCCAGGATCCTTGCCTCATCAATCAGCTCATCAAGATTGGTCTCTCGGTTGATGGATGTAATGCTCACGCCGCCTGGAAGGCTCCGGAAGGAGTAGTCTTTGGGATACACGTCCATTGGGTCTATCAAACTCCCTTACCATGCTGAAGAGTCCTAATACTGCGCCTCCAGGTGGCATTCTTGACACAAACAGCTCCCAGCTTCCTTGTGAGATGCCAATTCAGCTCTGCTTCTCACAGTATGCCACAAGACGTTTAAGGCATCGGCGAGTGGCGTGCTGGTACGATGCTCGGTGGGAGGGATGCTTGAGCCCAGCTACGTTGGTACCACGGCATGTGCTTTGTGCTGACATGGCCACAAATTGCTCCATGGCCAGCGATGCAGCGCTTGGGGCCTGCTGGATGGCTTTGTCGATTCTCACACCGCCAACCTGCTGGCCATGGCTGCCAATTTGTCAAAACAATTGCCGGGAAGGCATTGAGCTTCAACAAGGCTGGCACCACCAGATTCTGGCTCAAGGCTTCTCTCATTTCGCCTCAGGCCTCAGAACACATGAATTGAATGAATGATCCTGATGCGCAGGACTGAGCCTTTCTGAGAAGTGCACCAAAAGAAAGGGACACCACAGTGCTACCACTCTACCACTGCCGCACTTTGATCTGTGTGGTGTATTGTCTGTGTTTGGTACTCCTGCTACTGCTGCTGCCTTCATGCATCAAGTGGTAATCTTTGTACACAGTACAGTACTGCTTTCCCTAGCTAGCTCGAACATTCTGCGGATTGTTGTGCTGGCAACAACGCTTATTTGTGGGAAGCGGGTCACATAAATTATGCAGAAACTGTGCATTGGAGGCGTGCCTGAAACAAACTGACTGTTGGCCTTAAATATGCCATATGCTTGTCATATTGCAATGACCGTGGCTCTCCATCCATATCATGGCTCCAAAACGCAACGTACATTCGACATGCATGCGTGTGTACTCCTTCAGAACTGGGATGTTGGTCAATTTATGTGTCCCAGAACAGTCATCATTCAAGCACGACACACGGTGAACCTCAGTGCTCACATAATGATTAGTATGGTGTCCGACGTGTCAGAACATTCATGATTCTCCAAGTAGCACGACTCCTGCATTCGTAGAAAGGACTGCATGAGTGCACGCACAGTGCGCTCTCGCTTGCCCTGGAAGTTTTGCCTCCGCGCAGTGCAAGCGCAATGCAACCGAATATGGGATTCTTTGGGCTTCAAACCTGCACATCTGCACTCGGCCCATGTGATCACTTGCATGTGATCAGCGGAATTGTTGAAGTGATCGCTGTTTCAGACGCACAAGCTGCAAGCCAACGTCAAAGTATCCATCTGGCTATAGTCAGTGATCATCTGTCGATATTGCTACTATTCAAGGGACGCCCATTCTGCTTCTGGGTCCCGTAAAGTAAATATTAATCAACCTTTGTAAGCATCATCATTTGCCATCCTGCCCATTCGTGCAAGGCGAAACTCGGGAGCTCCGGGCCTCTTCAATTCGCCTTCCTCCACTTCAGTGGATTTATCTGCCTGGCGCTTCCTGGGGTCCAAGACCTTGATTCTCAAAAAACAAACGCAAAGCAACGTACTCAACGTGCTCAACGTGCTCAACGTGCTCAACGTACTCAACGTACTTAGTATCAGAATCTCTGGGCCAATGGCATTGGGCCACTGGATCGTCGCTTCTTGCGGCTGCGCGTAGGGCAAGACCTGCTAAGACTTGTGCAACAAACAAGCACTCAGAAGGGCCTGTGTCCCTCCCTGCTGATAGAGCACTGCCTGCCAGTAATACGATTTTATGGAAGGCATTGACACTATTGGTCCGAATACAAAAGGCGTACTGGCATGCTTCAATGCACTCGAAGCGGAAGACCAAGCCTCCTTTTCCTTTTGAAGCTCGGCCAATCTCGCTTTGACCACCTCCTGGTGATGTCAGGCAAGGAGCTGCGGAGTGTGGAGTGCAAGTGCCCATGCAAAGCATCCGGGGCACAACGCCCCAGCAATCTCAACACAAACGCTGCGATCAACCGGGATTGCTCAACTTGCAGCAATGCGAAACTCAAACATCACACCTCGCGCTCTGGGCGAACTTTCCGCCGGGTTTTGCTGCCCGGCTTTGCCTGTGAATGATATGCGATCTGTCCGACGGTGGCAACTATGTTAATTGATTGAGACACGCTGAGATTGCGCGTTGCTCAAAGCAAATTGATGGCAAAGTTCCACCACAAAGCTGAGGGCTGTGCCCCACGGCCAAAAAGCAGCAGTGCTGTGGAAGCACAGAGTGCCGAGACAGTCCTAGGTTCTCGCAAATAGTTTGCAGGGCGCTTATGAGTTTTGGGGTTTCAGCAAATCTTCCGCTAGCCTGTCCATTTGGCTGGCTTCTGTGGGCGACCAAGTTGACTTGACACCTGCCTACGCGCCCACGTGACAACACATCTCAACACATGTTCAGGCTGAACAAGAATGCAACTTGTCAGGACAAGTTAACTACCCTGACCGGCTCCCCCAATTGGATCATGGATGTCATGCCTATGAAATGACTGCGTGAAGCCTACGCGAAGTCTCCATGACGTACTGTGGATTGCGGGAAATGGCTTGCTTGTTCGACATGTTAGGCTTCACAACATGAGCCTCCGCGACATGCCTATGCACGCCTACATTGTTGTGGCCCTGAGCGCGAACCGGATACACAACACAACACGATGCCCGAGACATACCACGCAAACTGCCACGCGCCGTGTACATAAAAGATCGCAGCAACGGTTGCAAATTCCTCTTTTGCCATTCTGGCGTGCAATCTTGGTTGCAGCGCTTTCTTTGCAGCCTTTGCAAGCTGCTATTTGACTTGAGTGGTCTGCTTGCACACTTCCTGCACTTGCTCCTTGCGTTTGCGTTCTTCACAGGATTTCTGCCTTGCCCCGCAAACTGCATGGCGGGACCTAAGGGGCAATTGCCCAAGACAATCCCACGCCCAGCGACATCCTCAACTGCTGATCAAGGGACATGCCCATCCCACAAACCTCCAAGGACATGGCCCAACAAACCTCAGATCACGCCATTGACATCCGAAAAAAGAATTAGACCAAGACACTCAAAGTCGACCCGACGACACACCCAAGGACACCTCAGACATTACCTCAAGGCATCCTCCTCGAGATTCTCCCAAGGACATCGCCTGCCAAGACAACTGCAAGCACCCTCCAAAAAAAAACAAGCCACACCCTCAAAGACACGCCCTAAGGACATTGCATCCCTCCAAAGTCACCTCTCAAGTCAACTGAAAACGTCCTCGAACGACACCCCCAAAAACATCCCTGCAGAACCCCTCGCGACATTCCCTCACGACACCTTTATCGAAACATCAAACACATCACCAGAGACAACCACAAAGACGTCGTTCCCAAAGACACGCAGCCCAAAGACATCCCCGCAGAGACACCTTCCAACGACATCCCACAGGTCATTTGCAAAGACATCACCCAAACAACTGCAAAGGCCAAACAAACGCCCAAAAGCAACAACCAAGACAACGGCAAAACATCCCCGCTGAAGCGCAAATCACGACGGCACAGCGACGCAAACGCTCAACCTGTCAAAACAGCGAAACGTCGCAAAAGCTACGTTTTCCGCATGGGAGCAACAAAAACATAATTATTGGGATGTTTTTTTCCACCCCCGGATTTTTTTGTTTTCTTTTCCAGCCAGTAAAATGTCGTATTTTACAGCACTTTCTCGCGAAATTGACGCATTTTACACTAGCCCGTCAACATCCCCAGCACCGTTTTAAACATCCCCCGCATGTCCGACCAACATCCCTAGCATCACCAACAAATCGTGAGTAACCAGCTCCAAAAAGTAGCGGGGGGTTGGGGGGGCAGGGCAGCCCCCCATGTGATGATTCGAATAAGGGTGCAATTCAATCTCTGCAAAAAGTCTAAAAAGTAGCGGGGGCGTTGGGGGGGCTATGATGTTCGAAGAAGTGCATACATACAGACATAGATGGATTGCACAGATATCCTAACATGTCGTATTTTGCAGCATTTTCTCGCGAAATTGGACGCTCGAAAAAGATGATTCAAATAGGGGTGCAATTCAATCTCTGCAAGAAATCTAAAATAAGTAGCGGGGGGGGTTTGGGGGCCCCCCCCATGATGTTTGAAGAAGTGTTGATTCAAATAAGGGTGCAATTACTCTGCAAACAATCTAACCAGTAGGCGGGTGGGTTGTGGGGGGGGGGGCTTCCCCCTCATGTTGTTCGAAGAAGTGATGATTCAAACAGGGAGGAACTGGTGATGCTGACGATGCGGGAAGCCAAATCCAAAAAACAATGAAAGGGTGCAAAAGCCAAAAAGCCCAAAGAGGAACTGTGAAAGCAGAGGAGGCAAAAAGCCAAAGCCCCCAAAAGCCACATAAACCAGCGAAAAGCCGCAAAAGCCAAAACGCCACCTGCCGAAGAGGAACTGGGAATGCAGAGGATGCGAAAAGCCACCAAAAGCCGCATTAACCAACAAAAAGCCAAGAAGCCGAAAAGCCAAGAAGCGAAAAAGCCAAAAGCGGAAAAAAAGAAGAAGAACAAACTAGAATAAATACTCCTCCTAATTATTTTGCAAGTCATACAAGTCGCGCATTCTGAGCCGTTCCCAATGGCACGGGCTTCTCGCCTCCGTTGCGGAAGCGTTGCAAGCGGTTGCGAGCTTTAGAACACAATGTCGCAAACACGACCTCCACCCCAGACCCCCACTTGTAAACGGGAACCCTTACGCATGCGGGACAAGTGTTGCCCATTTTGGCATCCTTGCCGCATCATGCATGAGGCGTCACGCTCAGCCTCCGGCTTTTGCCGGTCTGCTCTTCGTGAGCCTGAAAACGCAACGCTGAAAAGTGTCAGTGGGCCTGCAAGCTAAGGCGAGTACTTTGCGAAGGTCCAGCCTTGTTTGAGCCCGCTAGGAGTGCACGCAAAGCCAAAACCAAATATGCGATCAACAACTGTCAGTGCATGTCGGTGTGCAACTGATCACAATCCATTGGACCTTCTGGTCTGGATCATGCGAAAAACTGCAAAATGAGAGTGGTCACAATGCTAGGCCCGTCACTCCGGGAGTAATCGGTGAGCAAACAATGGCTGCAGGGGCACCTGACAGAACAGGCCGTCAATCCTGTATAGAGTCGTAGCATAGGTAGTGCACGTAAATGTGCGTCAAAAATACCACCCATTTAAGCTCTCTGCAAGACTAACTCCTCGAGAAAAAAAAATGATTAGCAAAGGGATACAATCTTCAGGTACAACTCTTGAACCAAGTTTGTGCGGCAACAGCTGCCTTTCATGTAATGTGAGACTGCAGATCCTCTTGCATTCTCATAAACCATTCGGCAAGGCTATGCAAACAATACAAGCCAGAATGGAGAAGGTATGCCATATTGGTTTTGCAGTTGCTCGTTTCAGCGTGGGCGCCAGTAAACTTTGGGCCAGGCCAAACCAGCGGCGCTGCATCATCTCTCCTTCCTGTGCTAAGCCGCATGTCTGAAACGCAACCTATCTCATTTGTCATACAGAACGCTCTTGTCTCACTTACACACACGCAAAATAAATGTGCTTGCGCCAGCTAAGTCATATATGCAAGCAGCCGTTAGCAAACGCAATTGGCAAATACACAGTGTGTTGGCAAACTGAGGCTTTGGACGCTGCCCTGTCTGTGAGATGAGCTTTCAGGTTCGTTGAGCCTCTCATCTCAGGCTCTCTCTGACTACTTTAAGGTCCTCAATTGGTTGGCAGAAGGTCAGTGACAGAGGCGAACCATAGCCAGTTTGAGGCATTGACCTCAAGTCGAGAATCGATAGCCAAGAATGATAAGCATGTCTGCATCACATTTGGCTCCATGCTCAGTCTGAAAGGATCTGATGGGGGGCCATTGGTGGCAAGCCAACTGTGAGCCGAAGGTTGCGAAGCGTGCAGCGCATGCTTCCACACAAACACAACATATTGTTCTTGAAGGCCTGTCAAATGAAGCTCTTCAACCTTGACCTGGAGAATAGGCCTCACTCCTCTTTTTTTTCTCCGGTGTCTTTTATGGCTGTTCAGTCTGTTACAGTGCCTCTGTTTGCTCGCAAGTGGTATTTTCACTTACGGCTTTGGATCCGCATCTTGGGGTCCTTCTATATGACGTTGGATTGACGTTGAGTTGAAAATTCTGGGCCAAATGCCTGCTGGGCTTGCGTTTGGAAGCCCTGAACGATCAAACAGTTGACGTGCAGTTGGCGCATGCGATTCAGCCTTGCTGTTGCACATGGAGCGCGCCCGGCAAACACTGCTGCTATGACTACCAGCAGTTAATAGCTGCAGTAGTCAACATAATGCACCTTAAACCCTGTAGAATATTCAGCAGGGCCCCTGCATCAAAGAAATTACACTGAGACTTGAATGATTGCCCGGCACTTGAGTGAGGCAGACTGAAGGATGCTTTGAGCACTGTCGATCTCACAGCCTCCGCAAAGCCGCCTCTGGCCTCGCGCACTGTGCTTTTATGGGTGGAGCAAACATGAAGGACCCCTGTGGAAGAGGAAGCAAAGTCAACCTGGCAGCTAGCTTCCCAGAGAAAGTCTAGCTCAGCTAGCTCTCTCTCTCTCTCTCTCTGTCATGATCAACTCCGGCCAGCATGCCTTCATTTCTTCTGCTTCTCGAGGACCTCAAACTGACAAATGACGGTTTGCTCGTCAGATCGATAGATTGATCAAACTCCCTTGCAATATGCGTACATCAATGAGCCACAATGCTGGGGCATCCACTTTCACTGCTTCATCAATCTGCGTTGGTGCTTGCAGAAACCGAGATTAAATGCACAGTGCGTTGGATCTTCGCCGTTTGAAATTGAAGCTTCAGTCCTTGTGCTTAAGCTGGTCTTCGGATTCCAACAGGCCCAGAATTTCCGCGTTGGGGAGCTCCTTGCACAAGATGCACACACACACACACACACACCCTAGGCTGTCAAACATGCAGCAATGCTGCATCAAAAACACGATAGTCCAGCATCATGCCGGTCAGCTTTCCCGCTAGGTCTGGCCGCAGCCTGCGAAACTACACTTGCTGCAAGTGCTGTAAGCGCTGCAAGCATACCACAGAAGTCGTGGTCACTGTTTCTCTGAACAAAGCTGTGCATATTTTGGAGCAGGCAGCATGAGACGATGCTATGCAATGCAAGCTCTGTGAAACTGATTTGTACAAAGAAGCCGAGTCCATCGAGAAGGCACTAGGCAGTAGCGAGCAGCCACCCGAAAATGTGCTCACTAGCAAATAGAATATCGACATTTAAGTGCAAGACGAAACAATCGTGAAACAGCTTGTCCATCCGGAGCAATGCCATCACTCGCTGTGCAGAACTGCGGGGCCAACCCACGAGTTTGGGTCTGTGGGGTTCCAGTGAAACGCATGCTCAAGACGCCGAGACCTAGGGACGTCTGCAACTGAGCAAGGAAGCAGGAGCGCAAGTCCAAGCATGCAGGCGGAACTTAGTTGATGCGATTGGTGCTGGTGTGGAGAGAGCCGATATTACGCCAACATCGAACACGCGCGCCAGAACAATGGCTGAGTTGATCGCCATAACATCTTTAAAATTAAAAGCAAAGGCTTTGCCGGCTATTTTGCCTCCAACACATGAATGCTTCTCACAGTTTCGCCCCTGGGCTGACTTCCATTCCTTCCTCTGCCACTGCAGCTGCAACAGCACTTTCCATGCACATGAACATTCAATAGAAGACTTGGTGTGCTCTGACGCTAGCGGTCCTTCAGCCCAACCTCTAGTTGCCATGACTTGCACGTTAGCAAGGTTGCGTTGTGTTGCAGTGACCGTGATTGTGTCACGGATGCTCATTTGCAAGTGTGAGGCCGAAACAAAGACTTTAGAATCAAGAGCATGTCGTTCCCTCTTTCAAGAAAGGACAAAACAGTATGAAAACTTTTGTTGGCGGAGATGGACACGGCCAAGGGCGCGGACGTGATGCCGCAGCCCAAGGTGAAGGCGCTGAGTGGTGGAAGCGACGGGATATCATGATGGGCACACTTCAGCGAAGAAGGCACGCAGCTCGGGGACTTGCTGGTACTTCTCGGAGACAGGTGGCCGGGCTGGAAAGAACTGTGGCCTCATGAGTGGGAATGGACAAAGCTGCGCGGTGTTGGATTTGTGGGCCAACCATCCCACAGGAAGATAGTATCCTCCACCAGCTGTGAAGTGTGAAGGCTGCGATGCGCGACCCGGAGTCTGCTCGGGAAGGGGGGGATTAGTGGTGGATGCAGGTGCTGTCAAAACGATGGCCGCTTCGGCGACTGGAGGAGATGGGACTTGGTTTGCTAGATGGAGGAGCCACTCATGCCGTAGAATGAGGCAAAGGTGGCGCTCGAAGCTTGGAAACAAGCCAGGCACGCTGACGTTGCTGGAGGAGATGAAAGGAACCCAGGTTACGTGCCGGTGGGTTTGTGTGGCGGTGCGGCTCAAAAGTCCATGAAACGACAGACTTCCCTTTTGAGCGGGACCCTTTTCACAATTTTCACAAGCCCTCATCTGAGCCAATGTTCACGAAACGGAACTTTCGTGGCATTGGCCTTCGCGTTTGCCTGCGTTCAGCCTTCGTTTTTCGTACCAGCTCGCGCACAGCTTTCTTCCAAGGCTCTTAGTCCCAGCAAGTAAAGCCTGGGTGTCATGCTTTTCGCACCGTCAACGCAAGAGCGCTCTGTCCGAGGTAGAGCCACAACGGCAGCGGAGATTACACGCATCCGGGCTACCATGTAATACAACTGCTCTACAAACATGCGCAGATGACTCAGGACATGCGCGAACGACCCCGTGTTTTTCTCAAATCGTAGACGCCACAACTCCCGACGCGATCTAAAAACCACTCAGAGCCCAAGATGCTTGGAATTTGAATGCAAACAATCTATTAGGTGAGAAGACTGCTCACAACGAAAGGCCTTCGTTTTAAAGACTCGCCTCCGCTTTTGGGGGTGTTGGACTTTGTTCCACTCCAATACATGTCCCTTGGTCTGACCGTTTTGGTGGTAGCTCAAATGGTAGAGGAGGATTCCGTACTGTGGTCCTGTGGTTGAGGTTGATGACCATCTACGTGGTGGCGGAAGAAACGGTGCGGAGCCAGTGGGACACCACGGAGGAGGAGCTGGAAATCCTTGATCGCGGAGAGAGGCTCAAGAATTGTGGCTTGATGTACTTTGTGAAGGGCTTCATTGAAGATGGTACATCAAGGCGGCCCTGAATGGCATGCCGGTTGACGAGGCGGTGAGGCAAAGTAAGAGTGGCCGGTCACCAAAATGATTGGCACCGTAGAAATCTGCAGCTGGATAGCTGGAGAGAGGGTTCGGAAGGAGTACTCGTCTGTCGAGGAGAGCAAGGCTGTGAAGCCGATTGTGAGAAGAGAGATTGAGGGACCGGGAGGTCCTTCCAGAGGCGGTGTGCACGAGGAAATCGCCTGATGGGAGGAGGAAAGTCGAGGTGTAATGCCGGAAAGGACGCAGAGTAGGTGTACGCTGCTGGAGGAGCGAATGCGCTGCAGATCTGTATGGCTCTGAGGACGGAAGCCCGACGGGTGAAGTCTCCTAGGCACGGAAATCAGCACCGCGTTCCTAAGCACCCCACGACGAGGATATTTTGGCCGGACGATCATCATGGAGGTGCCTTCGATCTTCAAGGAGTTGGGCATCTCCAAAAGAGATGCGGTCTGGGTCACAGACAATGTGCGGGGAGCGATCAGCGGGATGCTGAGGTGAGAAAGATGGAGTGTGCGGAAAGAGAAGGTTGAAGTTCCTGAAAACAGAACTTGGGGCATCGTAGAGGTGGAGTCCGGTGCCTGTGCGGGCTTGTTGTCCATCTACGTGGACGATGTCTCGTTAGGGAGGATGGAGGTGATTGAATCGGCTCCTTCCAAGATGCACGAAGGGTGCTGGACATTTTCTGCTCAGTCGGCAACGAGGAAGATCCCGTTGCGCTTCCGTGACTTCGAGGTGTACAATCAGAAAGGTGGCTACCTCAGCAATCATAAGGTCCTTGCCGAGATCTGATGGCCAAGTGTCTTGTGTCAAAAACGGTACTATGAACTTGCGTTCGCGAACCCTTTTCGCGATGCTTTCGCGACCCCATGTTTTCCCTTCGCGGGCTTGGCTTTCTTTCAAAAAAGTTCCTTTCGCGGCAGACTTGTTGAAACACACTCTTTGGACTGCATGAGCTCTGAAGCTGCAGGTTCCTTTTGACGATGGCCATTGGCCTTTCTGCAAAATGAGTTCCACAAACGGCAGTGCACCCCAAATCAACACAACTCCCGCTCATCATCAACATGCATGGCTTTCGCGGGGCTTTCACGGAGGGACCTTCTTTTAGGCACTTTCGCGATAAGCTTTCGCAAGCTTTCGCGGTCTGCGTTTTGGCTTTGGCGGGGGGTCTACAGGACACCCCCCTTTACTACTTTGTATTGTCAGGGTTTATGGCGCTGCTCAAGTGGTATTGAGGAGGGCACGTCCTGAACTACAAGCTGCTAGACAAGGAGAGCGAGGGCGTTAGTCCTGAGGTGAGGGAGGCGCAAGCCAGTACCAAAGCCTTGTAGTGGTGGCTCCAAAACCCGCCAAACATCATGGTGGCTGTGGAAGCTAGGTCAAGGTGGACCAAGAAAGGAGTGGGCGTAGTCCGCACCCTGGATGTCCGGGCACGATGGATCGCGGATTGAACTATGTGCTGGTGGAGGGCAAGCATTCATCAACTATTTGGTGGAGTTGGGAATGTATAAGGGGGGAGGCCAATGGATCAAAAAGAAGAGACAAAGATCAGGATCACCGGCGACAGTAGGAGGGCCTGATGGGGAACAAAGAAGGCCAGGAAGCCTGAGGAAGATGGGCAGGGAACATGAACCGCCCACTGACAAGAGGGTCCAGGACTGGTTTAGGGATGATGAACCGCACCCACCCCAGCATGATGACCAAGGGCCAAGGGTCTGAAGCCATCGCGGTGTAAGTACCGCTGCCCCACTGGCTGCCACTTCAGCTTCGCTGTTGGCGCCAGCCTTGTGGTGGGTGCTGATGCTAGAAATGAGGTGGAGGTCGCGGGTGGCACGAAGGTGACGGACGACAGGCATCTTGGTCGTCCTGGGGGTGACTCTCATAGTCTTGGGTGGCGTGTGGCTGGTTGAGAACCACGATGAGAGTCGCAAGCTGAGGGTGGTGCAAACGTTGGTGAACCACCGCCCTGGCCAAGGTCGAGAAGATCGTGCTGGATGGGGCGGTCACTGAGTTCGAGACAAGGGGGGCTTTGAGCCTTTCGGAAGCGACGGCTTCTGGAGGCATGGCATCGGGGGCGGCTCCGCGTCAGATGTGCTGAAGTCGTGGAAGACTTTGCCTTGGATGCGGAGCAGGAATCGGTGGCATCAACGTCTGGAATCGCAGAGGGTGGAACTGCACCAAGAAGTGCAACACGAGCTGGAGCCACTTGCGGCATGGAGGAAGAGGCTGGTCAATGACGGAAATGCGGTGAAGGTACTACGAGCAAAGGGGTACCATGAGCAGAGGGGTACTATGAGCAGGCTACTTTTAGCCGGAAAATAACCCGGCAGAGCTTAGGCGGGAATGCACCAGAGGGCCCCTGAAGGGGATCGGAGCCCCTTTTTGCAAAAGGAAAACGGCTAATTGGCCTGGAAACTTGTGAGACCAAATCGGCTGCCCAAGAATCCAGCTCCGGCTCGGAAGTCTAGTTGTTTCAGCAGCTTCCGCTGCTGAGGTATTACGACTGTATCGGTTACGAAGGGTTCGCAAAACATACAACAAAATTATGTGTCTTTCGCAAGCCCTTCGCGGATCTTTGGCGGGGCTGCTTAGCCAATGACCTGGTGTCTCCAATATATGTTTTATAAGGATTTGTTGATTAACTCCCACATCTCCATGATTCTCTATTTCTATTGTTGATCTTGCATCTATGATGTATTTACAAATTATGCTCTTTGCAAATTATGCTCATCAATTTCAACAGGTAATATTGAAACACATATCTGGGTGCGCAACTGCGAAGTAAGCAGTGTCCAG